GTTGTAATTGTACCAGCCTCCTGTACCACTTTCTCCAGCAGCTCATTCCATACACGCACCACCCTCTGCATGAAAAAGTTGCCCCTTAGGCCCTTTTATATCTTTCCCCTCTCTCCTTAAACCTATGCCCTCTAGTTTTGAACTCTGCTACAATGGGCAAAAGATCTTGGCTATTCACCCTATCCATGCCCCTCATGATTTATAAATCTCTATAAGGTCACCCCTCAGCCTCCAATGCTCCAGGGAAAATAGCCCCAGCTTATTCAGCCTCTCCCTATAGCTCAAACCCTCCAACCCCAGCAACATCCTTGTAAGTCTTTTCTGAACCCTTTCAAGTTTAACAACATCTTTCCTAGAGCAGAGAGACCAAAAGTGAATGCAATATTACAATAGTAGCCTAACCAATGTCCTGTACAGCTGAAACATGACCTCCCAACTTCTAACCTCAATGCACTGACCAGTAAAGGCAGGCATACCAAACACCTTCTTCACTATCCTGTATCCCTGCAGCTCCACTTTCAAGGAACTATGAACCTGTACTCCAAGGTCTCTTTGTTCAGCATCACTCCCCGGGACCTTACCATTAAGTGTATAAGTCCTGCCCTGATTTGCCTTTCCAAAAATGCAGCACCTCACATTTATCTAAATTAAACTCAATCTGCTACTCCTTGGCCCAGCAACCCAGCTGGTAAATGTCCCGTTGTACTCTGAGGTAACCTTCTTCACTGTCCACTACACCACCAATTTTGGTGTCATCTGCAAACTTACTAACCATACCTTCTATATTCACATCCAAATCATTTACATAAATGACAAAAAGCAGTGGACCTAGCACTGGTCATTATGGTGCACCGCTGGTCACAGGCCTCCAGTCTGAAAAGCAACCCTTCACCACCACCCTCTGTCTCCTACCTTCAAGCCAGTTCTGTATCTAAATGGCTAGTTCTCCCTGTATCCCATGTGATCTAACCTTGCTAACCAGTCTACCATGAGGAACATTGTCTAACAACTTCCTGAAGTCCATATAGGTCACGTCCGCCGTTCTACCTTCATCAATCCTGTTTGTTACTTCTTCAAAAAAAACTTAATTATGTGGCCACTATACTCACCTCTGCCCCTCAACTCTCTTCAAGTTCTGGTATGCTGCTGGTCTACTGTGAAAACCAATGCAAAGTACCTATTCAGTTCCTCTGCCATTTCTTTGTTCCCCGTTCCTACTTCTCCAGCCTCATTTTCCAGTGGTCCAATGTCCACTCTTGTCTCTCTCTTACTTTTTAGTTATCTAAAAAAAACTCTTGCAATCTTCTTTTATATTACTAGCTAGCTTACTCTCAAATTTCATCTTCTCCCCCCATTACGTTTTTCGTTATTCTCTGCTGGTTTTTAAAGCCTTCCAACTCCTCTGGCTTCACGCTAATCTTCACCACATTGTTTGCTTTATCTTTTGCTTTTATTCTGTCCCTGATTTCCCTTGTCAGCCATGTTTGCTTCATCCTCCCCTTGGTATGTTTCTTCATCCTTGGGATGACTTTCTGCTGTGCCTCCCGAATTACCCCCAGAAACTCCTGCCATTGCTGCTCCATCGTCTTCCCTGCTCGGCTCCCCTTCCAATCAACTCTGGCCAGCTCCTCCCTCATGTCTTTGTAGTTACCTTTACTCAATTGTAATATAGTTACATTTGATTCCAGCTTCTCCCTCTCAAACCGCAGGGTGAATTCTATCATATTATGGTCACTATCCCCTAGGGGTTCCTTTACCTGAAGCTCCCTCATCAAGTCTGCCTCATTACACATCACCAAATCCAGAATCACCTGTTCCCTACAGGGCTCTACCACAAGGTGCCCCAAATCAAATCTTGTAAACATTCCACAAATTCCTTTTCTTGAGATCTGTGACTAACTTGATTTTCCCAGTCCACCTGCATATTGAAGTCCCCCCTGGTTACTGTAATAATGCCTTTCTTACATGCCTTTTCTATCTCCTGATTTACTTTCTTCCCCACATCCTGACTACTGCTAGGAGACCTGTTCACAACTTCCATCAGGGTCTTTTTCACCTTTGCTGTAAAGTGTGTATAGCGTTTGTGTGTGTTTAATTATGCCTGTTTATAAGTAAAGGGTTTTTATGTATCTATGTTTGTATGCCTGTAAAGGGTTGGTTAGCTCAGTTGGTTGGACGGCTGGTTTTCAATGCAGAGTAATACCAAAAATTTGAAGTTACCATGAAAACACTCTCCTTCTCAACCTCTCCCTTCGCCTGAGGCATGGTGACCCTCAGGTTAAACCACCACCAGTCATCTCTCTCTAATGAGAGACCAGTTCTCATGGTCCTGTAGCACGATGGTGACTTTCCATTTGTCTGTTAATTAGTATCCATGTCTGTGTCTGTGAGGTCCCAATCAAAAATAATTATGAAAAGAGCCAGATGGGAAATCAGAAGGTTTTCTTCCCCCCACACACCTAGTTTTTAAGGTTTTGAGTGTACTACCTGGAAATCAATAACACAGGGATCATAGAATTCCAGAATCCCCACAGTGCAGGAGCAGGCCACTCAGCTCATAGGGTCCACATCAACCCTCCAAAGAGTATCCCACCAATCCATGTATTTTCCCTTGGCTAACCCAGCAAAACATGCATAACCTTGAACATGACAAGCAATTTCCCATGGCAAATCCACCTAACCAAGGCATCTTTAGACCGTGGGAGGTAACCACAGCACCTGGAGGAAACCCGCACAGACATGGAGAAGAATGTGCAAACTCCACACAGACAATCACCTGAGGGTAGAATTGAACCTGGATCCTTCGCACTGTGAGGTAGCAGTGCTAACCACTGAGCCACCAGGCTACCATGAATGTTGAAAAAGACAACTGGAGATGAAATTCAATATTGACAGGGTCATGGGGTAAATGCTGGGAGGGGAAACCAATTGGAAAGCTCTTTTAAAGAGCCAGCAATGCCATAATGGGCAGACTGGTCCCAGTCTGGGCTGTAAGACTTGATGATTGTGTGTGTGACAGTGCCTGTCTCTCTTTCTCTCTCTCTCTCTATATATATATGGCTTTCCCCGCTTGTTCCACTGGTTCAGTAATACCGATTGCAGTGTTGATAATGGGGACACGCACACTGAATTCAGCTCCTGTCAGTTATCTGAGTTCCACACAGCTGTAAGCTGACCTGCAAAGTATTTACAACATTTTACGCTTATTCTGTGGCCAACCTCCGACCTTTGTTCCACTAAGTGGAACTGGGAATGAGTAACAACGAAGCGGTTATGTTTCAGTGAAAGGGAAGCCAAAGAAGGTTAAAGTGCAAGCAGAATTGGGAGCAACATTGGAGGATAGCAGGCTAAAGGACACAGCCCTCATTTCCTGTACTCAGAAGTGGCCGCAGCAGAAAGGAATCATGTGCGTCAGTTCAAACAAAGATATCGTCTTCAATCAGGACTCAGGAGCAAGACACGGCTGGTTAGATCTGTAGCTACGAGCTGCCAGGAAAACAAATGAAAACCACATATTGAACTTGTCAGCCGTGACCCCGTCACACCGCAGAGGCAAAAGGTCATGGGAACGGATCCAACTCCAGACAATGCAACACAAACACCAAACTGATATTTCTACACAGCGCTGAGAAAGTGCCGCACTGTCGTAGGGTCAGTACCGAGGGAGTGGGCACTGTCGGACGGTCAGTGCTGAGGGAGTACCGCACTGTTGGAGGGTCAGTGCTGAGGGAGTGGGCACTGTCGGAGGGTCAGTGCTGAGGGAGTGGGCACTGTCGGAGGGTGGGTGCTGAGGGAGCGCCGCACTGTCGGAAGATCAGTGCTGAGGGAGGGTCAGTACTGAGGGAGCGCCGCACTGTCAGAGGGTCAGTACTGAGGGAGTGCCGCACTGTCGGAGTGTCAGTGCTGAGGGAATGCCGCACTGTCGGAGGGTCAGTGCTGAGGGAGCGCCGCACTGTCGGAGGGTCAGTACTGAGGGAGCGCCGCACTGTCGGAGGGTCAGTACTGAGGGAGTGCCGCACTGTCGGAGGGTCAGTGCTGAGAGAGTGCCGCACTGTCGGAGGGTCAGTGCTGAGGGAGTGTCCCACTGTTGTATGTTGCCTACTTTCAGGTGGATGATCAATTTGTAATGTTACATGCCTTGTTGACAGTTTACCTAGATTTCAAGAATGGCTCCACTCCAAATCCCATTCCTGAGCTGTGAAGTGTTTGATAGTAAGCCGATGTTGTCAAAATTACTTCAAGAAGATACTGAGTTATTCATTCCTCCTGAACACATTTTCTAATGGGAAAATTTAAAACAGTGAAGGAGAAAATGCAGGTGACTAGGACTGAATCAATATCTTGACCAAAGAGCTATTAGTAGCACAATGGGCCAAATGGCCTCCTTCCTGCAGGTAGATTTTTGATATCAGGGTTACAGAGATGGGGCGGGTAAAAGGCATTGAAGTGTTTGATTGGCAATGATAGTATTGAATGGAAGGGCAGGCTTGATGGACTGAATGGCCCACTCTTGTTCCTGTGTTCTGTACTAGACCCTTATCAATCACATAAAGCAAACCCCTTCCCTAAAGCATGTCATCTTTGTTAGAAAGTGCCTACTGTAGAAGGAACCCTGAAGTCATTTGGGCACATAGTTCACTCCCCTCTTGACTCCCTTGTAAATCAGAAATCCATCTCTCTCAGCCTTCAAGGGAGCACATGGCACTTCAGGTTCACACACACACTTAAGCAGCAGAACTCTCCTGCAATTCTGGGCTGCTCGTGTGCTTAACACACTAAACTGGGGCTTGACCCCGATGCAGAAGTGTCACCGACTGAGCAACAGCACCCTGCCCTGGTGATAATGCAGCTCTGGGTTAGTGGGAGTGACTAGGCCCGACACAGTTCTCCAAAGACACTTAAGAATGGAGCGCTAAGAGGACTGACACAGAAAAGAAATCTGCTGGGATACTCAGCTCAGCAAAGAAATCTCTCTAAAATTAGCTGCATGAGTAACTTACCAAAATGTTTCCTTCTGATCAAAACTCAATTTGGTCTTCCTTTTTCAGATCAAAAATAAACAGGAGTTATTGCAAGCATCAGCTTCTTCCTCAAAGCAATCGACTTCCTGAAGAAACGAACATAGGAATTTAAATTTGATCACAAGGAGGGAAAATTTGAATGCAGATGAAATGACGCTATGAGCTGCTACCATCTCTCATGCAGAAGTGTGACCTGTAACATTGGACTGGGCACATTCCAGGGAATCTATACAGCATCTGCTCGGCCGAATCTATCTTCCCCTCTGCCTGGAATCCTAACACAGTACTCAGAATCTGACTAAATCTGACCCTAGAACTCCAGTCCCTTTGGAATTACTTTTTCGGGCTGTCCCCTAGTGGTACAAATCTGAAAATCGCTTGCAGAAATGGCAATGGATGTGAGATCGATTGTTAATTTTCAAACTGAGACTGATATCCAAAAGTCTGAAGGGATAAGTCGTAGATCAGCCTTGATCTGGCTGTATGGAGTGTCATAGAGTCAGACAGTACACAAGATGCCCTTCAGCCCATCAAGTCTGCACTGATCTATCTACACTGGTCCCACTTTCCTGCACTAGGCCCCATAGCTTTGAATGTTATGACACTTCAGGTTCTTGTCCAAGTACTTTTTAAAGGTTGTGAGGTTTTCCCCCTCAACTACCCTCCCAGGCAGTGCATTCCAGACCTCCATCACCCTCTGGGTGAAAGGATATTTTCCTCAAATCCCCTGCAAGCCTCCAGCCTCTCACTTTAAAATGATGCCCCCTTGTTATTGACCCTTCGA